GTTCAAGCTTATTGAAGATTTTTCTGGGGTGTCATCACCTCCTCATCTGTCAACTGCAAATGATGTTGCAGAAAATTGTGATCATAATGAAGCCACAGTTGAAAATAACTTCGATGAGGACTCCATGGATTCTGAGTACAATATGGAAGATGATCACATTGATGATGATGATGATGATGACCATCTATATCAGAATTTTGTTGATCATAATGTGGAAAGTTCAATTCAGGGTTCAGAAGAAGAAAGTGGTAACAGTGAAGCAGATGTGGTCCAGAATGGGGATGACCTAGATGATCATATTGCCAATATTGAGGAGGGAGAACAAATGCTTGTATTCAATCCCGCCACTATCTTCAATCCTGTGTTTGAGCTTGGGATGCTATTCAGTAGCAAAAAGGAATTTAAGAAAGCTGACCAAAGTTATGCCATTAAGAGTCACAGAGGTGTGAAGATATGTAGAAGTGATTCTACAAGGTTGTATGTTACATGTGTTGCAACAGACTGTCAATGGAAGGTGCATCTAATCAAGAAAAAGAATGAAGAAACTTGGTTCATCAAGGAATTCATTTCTGAACATTCTTGTCCATCTACTTTCCAGGTAACCTCTGTGAACTTTTCTCTTAACACTTAAATCTGCTACTTAATTTTTTTCACAACACGTAAATGGTCATGGTAGTTAATCCACATCTTAACACTTATATATGGTACTTATTTTTGTCCATCTACCTTGCAGGTGAAAAATGTGAAGTCCTCTTGGTTGTGTGACAGATACTTGAAGGAATTTAAGGCAGACCCCAGGAGAAGTGTAAAAGGTTTCAGGACAAGCACTATTGAAGAACTAAGGTGTCACATTTCTAAGGATCAAGCATATAGAACTAAGAGAAGAGCACTGAAAATTCTGCAAGGCTCTGCAGAAGGGAAATATTCTAAGTTGTGGGAATATTCTGAGGAACTTAGAAGATCAAACCCTGGGTCTACCATCATTTTAAGTACTGAGGCTGATAAAGATGGAAATTCCAGGTTCAACAGGTTGTACATTTGTTTTGCTGCAATGAAGAAAGGGTATAGAGATGGCTGCAGACCAATAATGGGGATTGATGGATGTCATTTTAAGGGCCCACACAAGGGTATTTTGTTGGTTGCTGTGGGTGTTGATCCTAATAATAAGTGGTTCCCTTTTGCCTATGCTGTAGTGAGTAGTGAGTGCACAGAGACATGGTCATGGTTCTTGACAATTATGAAGAATGACTTAGCATTGATGGACACCAGTGATTTCACCCTAATGTCTGACAAACAGAAGGGGATCATTCAAGCTGCAGCTGAAATATTCCCTGAAGCTGATCACAGATTTTGTGTCAGACATCTTTGCAATAACTTCAAAACAGCAGGTTATAGGGGTTTGGCATTCACAAATGCCTTATGGGCTGCTGCAATGTCCACAACTAAGTCTGGATTCACAAGTAGAATGGCAGAGCTTAAGGAGATGAGCCCAGATGCTTGGGAATGGCTCTCTAAAAAACCACCAGAGCAGTGGTCCAAATCACATTTCAAAGATGATCCCAAATGTGATATGCTATTGAATAACTGTTGTGAAACCTTTAACTCTTGTATTCTGGAGGCCAGAGAAGAACCTATTATCACAATGCTAGAGTGGATTAGAGAATACCTAATGAAGAGAATGCAAGAGAATAGAGATAAAGCTGCAAGAAAGTGGAAGAATAGATTGTGTCCAAGAATAATGGAGCTTCTGAAGATACACAGTAAGGCAGTGGCTGATTGCATTCCAGTGAAGGCTGATGATATACACTTTGAGATAAAGTGTAACAATGGAGCACAATACTCTGTGAACTTGAAGGATAAAATTTGTTCATGTAGGTCTTGGGGATTGTCTGGAATTCCATGCAACCATGCTTTGAGTGCTATCTTTTTTCAAAGAGGTAATGCTGAGGACTATGTAGATGAATGCTACACAGTGTCCAAGTACATGGCTACTTATGGGAACACCTTGTATCCAATTAATGGCACTGAACTTTGGGAGGAGAACAATTTCATACCACCACTGCCACCAAACTTTGGAAGGGGTGCAGGGAGACCTTCTAAGGCCAGAAGAAGGGAGAGTGATGAGATGGTTGGGAAAAATAAGAAGAAACAAGGAACTTCATCTTCTACAAAGGTGAAGAGGCAACAAAGTAATGTGAAATGCAGCAGATGTGGTGGTGAAGGCCATAATGCAGCCACATGTTCAACTACCACTAACCAACCTCCACCAGTAACCACTAACCAACCTCCAGTGGTACAAAAATTACAGGTAATTAATTTAAATATATATATATACTGCTATTGCTACTGACTTATGGGTGCAATTACTGAGTTATTGTGATGTGGGTTTTAATTTCAGGTCAAAAGGAACAGTGGTGCATCTCTTAGAAACCTAGCAAGTACTGTGAACCCAACTTTGTTTCCACCACTGTCAAATCCAACAGAAGATGCAAGTATTGTGATGGAAGAAGTTCCTACACAACAGTCCCAAGCACCTTTGATGGACACAATTCAAAGATCAACTCCTGGACCATCCATGTATGATCAGCTACTCAGGGAAAACATTCTGCAGCCTACAAGAGCCACACATGGAGTTCAAATCAGAGGGCCTCCTACATTTACTGGAGAGAGGCCTGTTTTTTTTGTGGGAAGCAGTATTACCACAGCTCATAACAAGGTCGTAGTTGATAAGGGAAAAAGTTCCTGGTACTTAACCAAAATGGCCATGGCAATGACAAATGATTTTGGG